GCCTAAAGGCATTCACCCAATAAAGAGAAACACGAAAACAATAGTGTGAATGCCTAATGGCATTCACACAATAATAATAATAATAAAGAGAAACATAAAAACAATAGGTTGAATGCCTAAAGGCATTCACACAATAAAGAGAAACACGAAAACAATAGTGTGAATGCCTAATGGCATTCACACAATAATAATAATAAAGAGAAACATAAAAACAATAGGTTGAATGCCTAAAGGCATTCACCCAATTATCCAAACAGTCCTGTCATAAATACCATCACCTCGTGAAAAAGCTGCCACTTAAATATCTTGCTGACCATCACTCATTCTCATTAAATGCTTTGATCTTGTGAAGTCTCAGGAATCTGTGATCTTTGAACTTAGAAAGCATAAGATGACGAATGAACTGAAAGCAGGGGGGCTGTGAGCCAACGTGTCTGGTGAACAGATCCTTTCCTTAGAAACATCAGATCCTTTGGCTTTAGGTTCTCATATTTCTTTTAAAAAATCATTTTTTTTCTGTTCTTGCGCATGCACATTGCCAGACCACAAGAGGAGATAAAGAGTAGAATGTATACAAACACAGTGTGTTTAAAGAGGAGGAAAAACCTTCATGACAAGATGGATCCTATTAGCAAAACAAAATTCCTCTAAAGACTTTCATAGAAAATGCTTATGTCACTTCTTGACTCCAAGTGTGTTTTTCATATTTAAATTAAAAGTTCACCACTTTAAATGAGGGTCTTTGGAAAGGTATGATCAACTAATATCTTACCTGTAGTAGATGCACAGGTCTCTGTGTGGCCTCAATCAGGTTAGAGAAATAGAGTTTAACTTTGACTAGATTGACAAGCCAACAGTCTTATAAGATCACACACACACGCACACGCACACACGCACACACACAATATATGAGGTCTGCAGACATGCATTATTCTTCAGTTTACTGTCCAGTTTTTTACAATTTTACTGTGAAACTAAATGTTATGCCACTGGGACATGTTGTGAAAAGTCTGAAAATGAGACACTGTTTCCAAAATATTGTAATTTATGTATAATTTTGTTACAAATATGTTGCTATATGAATAAAAACATTTTGTTAAACTGCTGACTGAAGACAAATCCAAAACCTTTGACGAAATCTCTCCCAGTCTCAGGCATGTGCAAACAATTATTTCACCACTAATGTGTTATTTTCAACTATTGTTCATTGTCTACATATGTATGTTATTTTAACATGCCTAGAAACCTGAATGATCATTCTTACCTGATCTAAAGTTGTGTTATTGGCTCATCAACATATACAGAAAAATGATTTGTCAGCAGACATAAAAAACATTTAAGTCAACTTATTCCTAATGATCCCTTTTACTCATAAAGTGATTCGCTGTTACAGATTTATTGCAGAGGATTTATTGTTTCTAACTGCATACATGCAGCATATGTGAAGTTTTTACAAGGAGGCATACAGTATATGTTGTCTGTGGGAGCAGTAGGCTAAAATGCTTCTTATTTACACAAACTACTTATATGGGAATTCTAGGAATTAAACATGTTTTTTCATTTTTTATTTTTTTTTTTAGTTAAAGTTAAAAGTTAATCACATTTTAAGGCATTTTCAGTTTAGCTTCATAGCATAAAGAAACATTTTTAAAAAGACCCAGTTTGCTATGTGAAGACGTGCATCATCTCACCTCAGGAACCACATTATTGTGCTCTTTTGTTTTTGTGGAAAACAACAAAAGGCCAACTACTTTATAAAAACAGATTTTTTTAAGTTCATTTGAAATCAACAACAGGCACAAATTGTGTCATGCAACGTCCAATTTAGACATTTCAGCAACTTTTTACATTTATTGTAGAAGATTTATATGACTGTGAGGGGAAAGCAGATGCTTTAATTCAATATTATTTTATTTCATATTCAGATATTACAATTTATATGATTATGATTTTCCTCTTGGGAATTGATTTATATTCTATGATTGTGCTAAATAAGAAAAAAAAGCATCTTTTGTCTGTCCAGCAGACAGATGATTACCTCTAAATTGGTGTGGGCAGTGGGGATAATAATTATAACATTTTGATTTGAACATAATGTCCCTGAACATGTTGGCACCACAAATATGCAATGTTTAATTAAAGCAACATTTTAACATATTTTGAGTTTTACTGTTGAAATTTAATGAAATTCCCCAAATCAGATCAAGAGCAAAACATCACGTGGAAACAGTTTGAGCTGCATTTTATGATATGCACTCTTTTACATTTTGCCATCATTCTTCTAACAGTTCTCTCTGAAACATTCAGATTTGCTCTTCAAATTAAGTCTGGTAAAAGTGTTAAAATGTCTATTCATCTCTAACACTTTGCTGTAATTAACTGTTTGTGCAGCAGAAATTCATATAGTTCAAGATGACCTGCAGAGTAATAATAAATGGGACGTCAAACATATTTTAAATGGGGGTGGGGGCCTCTGTGTCCATGCCTGGATCCACTCTGGCGCGGTGGGTACCGGCGGGGCCTGTGAGTTCGTCGCTGTTGGCCCCAGGGGTTGCTGTGTGTGGTCGCTGGTGGGGCTCTTCCGGTTCTCGCCGGTGGTCCTCTTTGGGGGTGGGTGGGCGGCCCTTCCGGCGCGGGTGTCTCTGGGGCCGCACGCTTTGGGTCCCTCTTGGGGTCTTTGGCGCTGGTCTCCCTTGTGTCGGCTTCTGGCTTTGCGGGTCGGGTCTGTGGTCCCCCACAGTCACTTTGAAACATTCCATTGGAGAGATCCATGCATGCTGACAACCACACACAAACAGGTGTTTACATCCTGGGTTTTCTATTCGGGCACTGACTGAATGGTATGTGCATATGTGTATGTATAGATATATGTATATGTGTATGTGTATATGTATATATATGAAAGTGTTTGGATATGTAGTATGTTTATGTGTACGTATATGTATAAATTTATATATGTATGTGGGTATGGTTTTCAGCAAGGCTATAGTCATTATAATTATATAGATATGCATTTTGTTGCTGTGGTTTTGTTATCTTTGTTTTTGTAGGTGTGGAGCCAAGAGGTCGGGTGTGATGTCTTGTGTTTACTCAACATATATTTCACATATCTTCTAATCATGCTTTCACTCTTTCTCATCACATTTCACTGTTTTCTTTCTCTTTCTTTTTCTCCTATAAAAAAAGCCACTGATGATGAAGAAGCTAAGATACTAATATTCAGCTATTCAGTTCTGCTTTCTACTGAAGTGGCACAAAAAGAAGAAAAAAACATATTTTAAATGCCAAATACAAGCATCAAATGATTTTCTATGATTACAACAAAATGTTTTTGTTTTCTGCATCATATTAAAATATTTTTTGTGCTACGTTTCAAGACATCACAATTCTCCGAATAAAATTCATTACAAAAATAAAATAGGCTGCAAGAAAAAGAAAATGTAAAACATTCCAAAAGAAAACATGTCGTGAAAGTTACAGTTTTTACATGTTTTCTGTTGTGGACACTGCATAGTTTATGTTTCTGCTCTCCTTAAGTCAAACGGAGCCTGTAAAAACCACCAAAGCAGAAATTCGCTGTTCTGCACATACAAATATGCAAATAAAAACCACATGCCCTATTGAGGCCTCAGAAATCAGGCATCAGTCTAGTCAACTAAACCTTTAAATGGTTAAATACAGAAACCTTTTTTTTTTTTCAAAATCAAGTAAACAAACAAATGGTCTGATCTTTTTCATGTCTTCAGACATTTAAAAACTAGCCAAAGGTGAGAATGAGCTGTAATCATGACACTTAGATTTGAATTTAATCATGTCTCAGTAACTGAAGGTCTGGTGCACAAGGCTGCTGACTGGCAGCGTAAACACAGCAGAAGCCAACACTTTTAACAAGCCTGAGGCCTGCCAATACATAATCGACTGACTCTGTGAGGAATTTGTCTTTGAAAAAGCTACACAATAACTTTGAACAGTTAGAGAACATAAGTCATATAAACAACAAAGCCTTGCATCTACTCTGGTATTACAACAATGTAGGCCAGTCACACAAATACTTACAGATCTGTTTGTTTTCTTTGCAGAGTTTACCTTGATGCCTTCATCTTTTGTCAAATAGTTCTGTTTTTAAGCACAGGACAAAAGGCAAATAAATCCTGATGATTGTTAAACCAAGTTTCCATCCTGTTTATTATGTTCATTTCAAGATTTTGAGAAAGTCCTTCCTAATCATATTAGCGCCAAAGAGCCCAGAAATTCAAGTGGGTGAGGCAAAATTAACCAATGGAATTTTCTCCATAAAAAAGGAAACTTGTCACATGAACAGCAATGACCTGTTTATCAGAGCCATCTGACTCTAATTTTGGTTTCAGTTTTGCAATTTGAACTTTTTTCTATCCATCCATCCATCCATTACCTATACCCGTTTCTTCCTTTCAGGATCACAGGGGTCACAGGTGCCCATATCCAGCAGTCACAGTGTGACTAACTGCTGGATATTTTTTTCCTATCTGTGAAATAAGAAATTCCATATAATCTGGCAACCCTGTGACATTTATTATGTCTATGTGTATCATTCGTATATGTAAATAAATTAGCCCGGGTTCATTTTAACATCTATGCTAACTTGATGAAATGTGTTTCCAAAATTGACTCACTAATTATTTTTATTATTATGTGTAGTTCTCGGAAGCAAATATAATAACTGACTAGCAATAGATAGCTAAAAATGTCGTTATTATTATAAATATTAATGCATGACCACAAGATAGGTATTGCAGTCACTTCCATGTGATTGTTCATGCAGACAAGTTTGGATTAATTCACTTTTATTTTAATATAGAAATAAATGACATACCTCTGTCACTTGCGCTTATGCATGAAGAAATTCTTAGCACTGTATGTTGCAGCTACAAGGCACGTGATACAAGTGACGACTAGAGTTTTCTTTGTCTGAAAAGCTTTATTTTAATTAAATCTCAGCGCTCAAAACAGACTTCTCAATCCCATGTCTTTGCAGTTGAAAGGGGTCAAAGTTATGTCATATTCAGGAACACTAAAAAAATTGTATTCTGGCACACACTTGGGGCATTCAATATCATCTCACAAGTACTTGTAATATAAAATAAATACCTGTTAAGATAGAACTGTGGAAGTATAGTCCTTGGATTAAACATACATAAAAATAATAAGTGATACCTTTATTTGAACAGTTAAACACAAAAGCATTGTATTTATATGTAATATGACTTTAACGATGTTTGTAGCCTATCTCTCACTGAGAGACAGGGCTGCTAAAAATGTTCACGCTATTATTATTATTATTATTATTTTTTTTTTTTTTTTTTAAATCTTTTAATCCAATTGCACCAGTGGGCTCCGTAACATCTGGGTGCGGAACTAATGTTAAGTAGCGGTACAATTTCTTAACGGAAGTAAATACACGTCGGACCGTCCATGTGTGGATGGGGGGGAAATGTTTCTGTGGGGTACATGAGTTAAAATATTTCCATGTCGTACCGAAAGACGGGTGTTTTAGCAGCAAACGTGCTGAATGATTCACTGACTGTCGCGATATTTTATTTTCTGACAAAATGTTTGCAAAACCGTTTCGTGTAAAATCCAACACCGCAATCAAAGGATCAGACCGGTGAGTCATTCCTGCTGACAGACAAGTCTGGTCACTTGTTTTCTTCTGCCTGTTGCTGAATCATCGGATATCATATTCAGATAGCAGCAGGAGATCAGTTATCTGTCATTTCCCCTTTTAAGACCAACTTGTGTTAATCATGACCATGTGTCATTTGAATTGGGTTTTCGTTTTTCTGCAATGAAAATCACGATGTTTACTGTGAATTTTAGTCATATCTTAAAGATAATTTGATGGTTCTAAGTTTAGTAAACTGGTATCTTCAAACAGAAAGTCATCACCGTTTTACCAGATAAAAGGAAAAACCACAGAAGTAAATCAAATATGTTCTGTCGCCTCTCTAGGAGAAAGCTCAAAGCTGATCTTTTGGCTGCATTTCCTTCACTGTCTGCTGATGAGCTGTCAGAGCTGGTCCCCAATAAAGAGGAGTGCAGTGTGGTGAAGATTTATGCACACAAGGGCGAAGCTGTGACACTGTACGTTCTTCACAAGAACCCCCTCTTCTTTGAGCTGGAGAAACAACTTCATCCAACAGGTAATGAAGTAGTAGAGTAAAACGACTCACTTTTAGATTTGCTCAGGTTTTTGTGTTTTGTTTCATTCTTTCAGTGTATGTGCTGTGGCGTCGTCCTACCCTCCTCCCAGTATTCAGAACATGGGCTCCTGTGCTTCAGAAGCTGATTGGAGGGGCTGGTAAGTTTGTCTTTCAAATATGTCTGTGTGTTCACATAAAAAAAAGATTTAATTGAAAATATTGCTCTTTTCCAAAAGATCTCATGCTGCCAGGTGTGGTGGTGCCTTCATGTGGCCTGCCAGATGTGAACCAAGGGGACTGCTGTGCGGTTACGATTGTGAAAAATAGGTTTGTTTTAAATCAAATGGTTCTCTGTGTCTTTTCTACATTCATAAAAAAATGTATCTTCATTGCTGTCCTGGATGATTGCAGGGCTCCAGTTGCTGTTGGCAAAGCTGCAGTGTCCCGTTCAGAGATGCAGAGTTCAGGGATGAAAGGAAGAGGAGTGTGTGTTCTCCACACGTACAAGGATTATCTCTGGTTTGTGACTTTGAGCTTCTGTACCAAAGCTAACATGATAAATGGTTGTTGTCATTACTTCTGTGCACCTTGTTGTGCACAACAACATGATTTCCTTTTAACACCCTAAGTTTATTCTTGCAGTGTTACATGAAAACCCAAATTTGAGGAGCAGAGATTAGGACTAAGATGTATTTATTCTAGACAAAATGCTGCTGCTTGTATGGCTGACATATACATTCACTTCTTAGTGAGATTGAAATCATGTTTGTGTTTGGAATCAATTAATGGCTTTAATCACTTCAAACTGTCTCTATATGCAGTTTAAAGCTTTCAGCTTCCAACCAGGCTTGGGAGATAGTGGGCAAAAAAAAAAGAATCAGAATTTAGCCGATAATAACTAATTTGACAGTTAATAGATGGTCATTGAATGCTTATGACTCTAAATGAATTACCCTGTGTTCTAAAATTAGGACATCATTTCACAAGCTCACATGCGCACTTGATAGTGAAAGTTTGTTGCACACAATAATACATCACCATCACTGTTGACAGTTTTTCCGATGATTACCGTAATTACACACGACACAATTTCACCCAACCCTACATAACCCCACCTGCAAAATAGCTGCAGGAGAGTCTTGTGAACCCAACTATCACTGGTTAAAAATACATACTAAGTCAGTTCAACAAAGATATAATGACAAATTCTCACCTTACCTCCTGTTTCCTCTGCTAATTTTACTCATTTATGGCTACTGTTTATGAATGTTGTTACAATTATCCCATATTTTATGCTTTTAGCAATTGCCATAAATGTAATTGGTTTCTAGAGATTGTGTCTAGACCCTGCTTGTTTTTTGACACCAACCTTTGAACTGATCTGAACAGTCAGATCAGAGGTTGTATTTACTGAGTCCTGAGTGCTTTTGCTTCTTTATTTAGCACTGTCTTATTGTGATTCAGTGTTAGCTGGAGACGTTTGAGAGGTTTTTATTAAACCATAAACCACTTTGGGAAACTGCCAAAGTGGTTACAAAGCAAGCCAAAGTGAGTGGCAAAATAAAGTGCACATCAAAGAAACCATGATTTTAAACAACTGGCTGCTCTGGTTGTGTAGTTTTTTGCCATTTTGAGTTTTTGACGTGTCTCAAGTATCACCTTTAGCCGTAACCAGTTTTTGAGACCCCACTGATTGGTATACCTGATGGGTAGATGCAGCATGATGATGTCACCATTGGACTTGATTGCAGAGATAATGCTGTAAGACTGATGGAAGGTTGTTGATGTGCATGGCACGTGTTTCATTTTTAATTTGCAAAACGTTTCATTGTAATATCTCTTGAGTAGAATATTCCTTTCAGTTTCCTGTTTAATGAAACCACAGTTTTATAGAGGATATGGATTCAAATGAACTTATTGTAGTCTCTACTGTGGGGGTTTTGGGGGCTGCAGTAGCTCTTAGAGGTCAGTGCTGCAGTTTTGTAATCCTGAAGGTCACACATAATTGGTATTACCTTTAGTTAAAACTACACCAAAGAGGCTGAACACATTGATAAGCATAGCAATACTTTAGCTATTATCAAGATTGCCATTGGTTGTGTTCCTGACAACATTTTCTGGGGTGACTACATCTAGCTTCAGTAAAATAACTCAATACATCTTCTGTCTTTTTAGGGCATTTGGAGATAAGTCAGATCCTCCTTCCTTACCGGACGGAGAGATTGAAGCAGACATGTTGGACGAAGACAACTGTGACGTCAGCGAGAACGAACAAGAAGACGAGACCGAGAAGAGTTTGGAGGAGCAGCAGAGTTCTGGCGAAACGGTTCAAGATGAGGCATGTTGCATCAACGAGCTGAGTCTGGCTGAGCAGGAAGGAGACGAAGAGGAAGGTAGCAGGAACCAAGAGGATGACGACCAAGACGAACAGAAAACCCCGCAAGGTACAGAGAACACCAGACGGACTTTAATTAAACGCTGGTATTTCCCTTTATTAAAAGATGTTTGTTTCATGACGACTGCAGATGAAAACATGTTTGATGTGATACATTTACAACACATAACCAGAGATCTGAGCGTCGTGTTTTGATTTGAACAGAGGAAATGGACGCCCTGCTGCTGCAGTGCTTTCTGCACGCTCTCAAGAGCAAAGTGAAGAAGTCAGAGCTCCCTCTGCTGACGAGCACGTTTCTCCGCAACCACATGTTCTCCTGCTGGTACAGTTTATCTTTTAGAACCTGCTGAGACGGAATTAAAACTATCACTACAACTGTTTTTTTTTATGGCTTTTCTTTTCAGCCCAAGTGGAAAGCAGCTTGATATAAAAAAGTCCAGCTATAAAAAGGTACGCCAGTTTTCCAGGATAAACCATTAATGCACTTTAAGAATTAGTAATCCTTGAAAGAATTCATATCACCTGCCGCCTTTCATTTTAAACTGCTATTATTTTTGTTGAAAAGCCAGATGTTGCATCAGATTAGGTTTTGTGAATGAATCAGCTATAATAACAAAATGATAGCAGTAATAACCTTTTTTGTATAAGCTGATGTTAATTTACTGTGGATTCAATTTAAAATCGACTTAAATACAGCTTTTTGTGTTTTCTAAGGTCAGTTAACTGTGGCAGCCATCTTAAATTCAACTGAATCCAAATTTTAATCAGTTGTTAATAAACATCTGTTAATTGTTTCCTGAAAGGTTGATTAAAATCCATCCATTTTATGAGGATTTCTGCTAACAGACACATTTGACCCTAATAACTAAGTATTAAACACAGATCTCATGTTAGCACTCAGAGTATACGTTGGGATTCAGTTTCAGACATTTTTACAAGTTTTTAAATGTGTATTAAATTGAATATTTATCTGGCTTCTTCCCCTCTCAACAGTTGTCCAAGTTTCTACAGGTTATGCAGCAGCAGCACAATCTGGTGCGTGTGAAAGAAATCACTAAGGGTGTGGAGAGCATTGTTGAGGTTGACTGGAAAAATCCACAGTGAGTCGAACCAGAACTCAACCTTAAGATGAAGCACAAAATAATCAGTCTTTCAGCTTCCCCACATTTATTTTTCCTTTTCTTAATTTTTATCTGTTTTTTTTTTTTTGTTTGTTTTGTTTTGTTTTGTTTTTGTAGACTGCGTTCCTTTAGCTTTCCAGAGGAGACAGGTGCTGAATCAACTGTGCTGCAGGTTGGAGACAGTTCATACCACCCTCCAGAGATCACAACTCTCTACTCAGTTTCTGCTCGGCTGGAGCCACTGTTTTTGGATGCAAAAAAGAGGTTAGTTGTGTGTGCGTGTGTGTGTGTGTGTGTGTGTGTGTGTGTGTGTGTGTGTGTGTGTGTGTGTGTGTG